AGAAAAAAATGTGCCACAATCAAGTAAACGTAATTATCGGTTTCTCAGCTTTTTAAATCAAATAATATTTTTATCAATTTAAGTATATTCCAATATCTCGTAGTAATGACTTGATTGAACGCAGTAATACCTTAATTTGTAAATAAATCACTGGATGTAAAATTGTTATACGAATTTAAGAGAGTATTTACTAGAATTACATGTAATATTTTCTTTCCATTGGAAAAATCCAGCGGTTTTAAATTTCGATTTTTTCTCCGTCCGGTAAGTATTTTCCAAAAATACATTCTAATATTCTCAATATTATGAATTTAATACTTGTCGCCATTATTTTAACACATATAAATAAATGTCCGCTTATAGGAAATATGTATATGACCAATTATATTTCGCTACTTCTCGAATAAATATTTGCCAGGGGGCATTGGAGTAACCATTTTACTTGGATCAAATAAATATCACTTGAAGGATAGCGCCTCTTTTCAAATGTAAATACACAGAACTACCAAACGTGCAGCATCGCAACAATATGCTAACGACGAGGAACAGTTGCTAAGAGTTTACCGGGGGCGCTGGCTTCTGGAAAAAAGAAAAAAAAGAAACCCGCTTCCTGCGACTGAATAGAAACCAGATGAAAACTCGGTGACGAAAGATGGTATCTCCGTTCCACCGGAGAATATTCGTGTGAACACTCGGGGCCGGTTGAGACAACGGTTGAGAGCAATTGACCGAGCAGGAGCCTCCGACAGGAATCTTTCTGTTTCCCCAGGTGGGGGAAAATTCAGTTATGCCAACGGAATTGTATCTTTCCGAACGCGGCGAATGCGCAGGATCGGTCGATCCGCAGCGCATATATGAACCCGCACGCGCCCTGATCGTGGATGCGCCGAGATAGACACGTTGCCGTTAGAACGCACTTGGACACGCCACGTGTGGTTAGCACGCGACGAGCCGCATTAAGCGCCTGATGATTGGCCACCGAGCGGACATATGGCTTCCTCGTCTACGTGCGCTCGGCTGTCCAATACGAATATGAGCAAACAGCGCCGCCAAGTGCGCGACGGACGGAATTTGTCGAGTTAATGCGGAACGGAAATTCCGCGCCGGCCTGATCCTCTACTCGACGGTGTCGAATATTTCATGCACATACTCGACGCTCTCTCTTTCTCTCTCTCATAGCTAGCGCGTTTTTATCGGACCGACCGCTTTGAAACGGATACGGCGAATCTGCGGTATATCATCGAGTCAGACCGGAGAAACCTTTGCAAAATTAAACCGGCCGGCTCGGAGATCAAAGTTTTATCTCAATTGACAGGGCGCATTTCGCCCTCTCTCTGGATTTTTCGCGATGCAACAAACGTTTGTTGCGTGCTTCTCGCTCCTTTCCTTTCTCTCTTTTTATTTTATATTTATACGTTGCTAGAGCGCGCGGCATTTTATGGACGGGATGACATAAAATCCATACGAGGGAGAGAGACGATAACGACACAGCTCGGCGCATCGTGCCGCGGTTATTACGCGATCTTGGACAAACCGCGCGCGTAAAGACCATTAAAGACCGAATCGGATTTGCATCGATTCGACGGTTTGCTCATCTACCGGTTCCGCGCGACCGATCCGACCGGATCCTTTTCCAAGGTTCAAAGTGTACCATCGTGTCCGCATTATACTCACAGATGCAAGTGCACCCGAGCCTCGTGTCACCGCCTTTGCGCCATGCATATTTCCCCCTACCGCATCTCGTATTCCTTTCACATTCTTCAAGCCGACGTTATCAAGAAGCATTCGGGCCTATCAGTCATTCTATTTGCATGGACCTCGCACACCTTCGGGAATATCGTTTCGATAATGCCGCGAGGAGAATGATACGCGAGCAAGCTCGCGAACGAACAGCGGCAGATTTTATATAATACATACATAAAGTATTGATTTATTCCAAAATAGAATCTCAATCGACTTAATACGCGCAGAAATCTTTCCGCAATGTTTATATTAATGTCCTTAATATCACAATAATCTTTCACTGAAATCCTAAATATGGTGTAGCAGCTTCCAAATGGTCAATCGTTTTCCAACTTAACAGACGTAAAAATAATCTTTGCATCGGTACGCAGCTAAAATTCAAAAGGATTCCCAAGAAAATGCCTTGACGGACCAAGTTAGCTTGAGAAGAGAAAGGAACTTTTGCACCAGCCCGATACATCGCCGCGAATATTCATCGAAAGCGTAGAATCGCAGTTCAACGTCGTCAATTAAAAGCGAGTGTCGCAGCGCGGCGAGCCGCCGCCGCCATCGAACGATTGGGAGGGCCTAGAGTTAATTAGGGGCGATAATCTCGGGGCGGCCGCCGAACAATCGATAAATTTCGATCAGCCACAATTCTCGCCATCGTTTCGCGCATTGTCCCCGGTGAGAGACACGTCGGTCAGAGATACGCGTCGTGTCGGAGGGGCCCGTGACGATAATTTGCGCGACAAATAGCCGCTCGCAGCGGTTTCCCGCAAATTCGCAGAGAGAGAGAGAGAGAATCGCGATCTAACGAAGTCGATTTGAGGTCGCGTGTGCGCGTACGTTTCCACGATCTTCGCCACGGTTTTCGTTTGCAAACGCGCCACGAAGCGTCTCGCGAAGGACGAAGAAGATAGAACCCGGGACAATTTCGTGGGCGTGCGATCGCACTCGCGCGGAATAATAAATAACCGTTCAATCCTTACCCCGCTTCCCCCGCGGGTCTCCGGCGATGGGAGACGCGAAGGCGATCGGGAGAGCGTTTCCCGGCAGTTAGACGGGATCCCCCTATGACGGGGGGAAAAACGCGCGGCGGAATCCCGTTCGGAATCAATAAAGTTACCCCTACCCCGCGCGAGTCGAAATAAAACGACTTGGCGATGTCGCCGAGTGGCGGTGCCGTGTCTTCCGTTCGTTCCACGGGGGTAGAACCCACCCCCGTCGCCTCTTGACACGTGGCGGTTGCTGCTTTTATTATCTACGTTACGAGCTTCATGTATGTCCGCGTATCTTGCGTATCCATTTCACTCACTCGAGAGAAGCCTTTTTCGAGTTGAATTGTGAAGATATTTCACTTTCATCCCGATGAGTGATCGAGCGTGAAGCTCCCCCTCTCTCTCTCTCTCTCGCTTCCGGTTTGTCTTGACTTTTTGCCGGTCACACCGTGTGTTTCGAAACTCGATTGCTCCGTCGCCCGATTCCCCCTCGAGCAATACGTTTAAATGTATTACCTGACGCAGCAGTTAACTAAACTCTAATGGACTAATTATCCCGGCAGCTCTTCACCGAGGATGTTAAGACTGACGAAATTACGAATAAGTTTTCAGCAAATTGCTAAACAACGTTATTCAGCGCGCGCCGATATACAGGCGCCACATGGAAGCTCGTTAAATTTGTTTGCAAGTGAAAGAGAGAGAGAGGGCGTAATGATGACAATGCGTACCTTTGGCGGAGAATCCGCGGGCGGCGTGTAAAAACCTCTCTCGCAAGTTTGTAATGCTAACTAATGAATCGATACGCCGACAAAATGTAACCAATCGGAATCATCGTGCAAAAATACACTTGCAAAATGCTTCACCTTTAACTCTGTTTCGCCAATGACGCGTGCGATAATTGTTTTAATTGCTCTCGCCGCTGTTTATAAATGACAATCGGGCACCGTCGAGCCCCGGAAATATCCTGTCACGTCAGTGACAGAATCGTAGGGCACGGGGAGAGGGAAAAAGGAAGGACGATGAGCGAAGAGAAGGAAGAGGGCGAGATAGAGCGAGAGAGGAAGAAAAAAAGGGTTGCGAAAAGTCATTGAAGCAGGCTCTGCTAAGAAATCAAATATCTTGTAATCTTCAGTAAAAGACCATAAAGTGCCAAAGCACGGGAATTCTAGTTAAACGAAATTTAACACGACGAACGAGAAAATCTTACAAATATAAATCACGAGCAAATGTTTCGGTCGTGTTAAGTTTCGTTCTCTTGACGAGGAGGCTGCAGAAAGTCCACGACTCGACAGAAGTATTCACCGATTCGAGACGGGACAAAAGCTTGGTCGGGGTTCGGTTTTGTTTCTCGCGAACGCGGAAAACGTAACGAGCCACTTGGCCACGTTGCATATTTCAGAACGGGCTAGCTAATCAGCCAGCCAGCCAGCGAACCAACCGAGCTCTTCGCTGGAAAACCCGGAGGAGTATGGAGCACGATGTCGGGGGGAGATCGCTAATTAAAGGAGAACTAATTGTCATTCCATCGAGTCGTGCCGCTTATTGCCGGCCCCAGAACGCGGAAGACGATCTCTCCTCCGCGGCCTTATCCTTAAATACTAATAATCCTCGAATTCTACGCGCGATTATCCGAATCGCTAATTGTCGTCCTCGAAATCGTCTCACAAAACGCGAGTCGAGCTACTCCTCCGCGTGGTTTATGTGATCAAACCGAGAGAACCTTGTCGATACATTATAAACGAGCTTCAAAGTTCCCGAGCCCTCTGTCTCGCTAATAAATGAACATGCCGATCGCGGTGTTTGCGTTCTCGACGGCGGAACTTCGCGATCTCGCGCACTCCGCTCCTCTCTCGTTCTTTCCCTCCTCGCGTTACACTGCTAATAAAATAAGAGCCTCGCGACCTACACGAAGTCTGGAATTGACTTTCATACCGTCACTTGAACGTTATATCACTCGATAACGTCGAGCAGTATTTAGGGAACTCGGTAAGACGATACACATACGCGCGGCTCGTAAAAGGATCAAAGTGTGAAACACGGCGTTTTCTCTCGTTTTTTTTTCTCCTGTCCTTCCCCCCCCCCCCTTTTGCATGTTGACACATGCCGCGTTTTCAAGTTGCCGCACGTTGTTCGGCGGCTCTTTTTCTTGCGCGGACGCCCGCGCGAGTGTAATCGTTAACTCGCGCAATACCGTCGCGAGACGGCTGGCGAAAAACGCGAGAAACGAGTTACGTCGTCTTACGAGGCTCGCGATTAATTATCGAGAAAGTGACTCACCTCGCGCAGCTCCTTGATCTTCAGGCCACCTTTACCGATGATGCACCCCGCTTGGCTCTGATGCACCAGCATGCGCACGTCGATCTCGTCGCTGCCATGACGGGAACCGTTCTGAAATCGTGTCAATAATAAATCGTGGAAGCTGGAATGCGTTAGCCGGCTCCACTGCGACCTGCGATCGGACGGCAGGTGTGATTTTGTCGCGAGGAAAAGGCGCGCGTAAGTGCTCTCTCTCTTTCTCTCGAAATTTCTCGGAGTTAAATCTCGCTCAAGACGAAAATTCGGAGCGGCAGTGATGAAAGCACACGCCGCTCGGAATTTCGCCGCAATTCGCGGAGGGGACTTGTTTTTAACCCGTATGAGTGAACGCTTCAATCGGCGAATTTGCTCCTGCGAAAGACGGCGCGCACGGATCCGCTCTTCAATTCCGAATGAAAACATTCACCCCTGCGCGAAAAGTCACTCGAATGGAATTTCACTGGAAGAAATCCAGAGAGAGAGTTACAGTCGAAGGGAGAGCAAAAAACAAAAGGGCACGGTCTATGACGGGATGAAGCCTCGGACACTCACCTCTTCTAGATTAGGTACGACCTCGTTCAACACTTGCAGAACAGTGGGCAGGTCCGAGCTGATGGTAAGCACCCTAGAATCAGAAGAAGCCCGAGGATTATCTTGGTCTCGGTGGAGATCGGCGTACATCGCGATTTTCGCGTACGTGCTCTATTGACCATATGCAATCCTGTGCGAATGACGTTTCGTGCGTATGAGGATGCGTACGCATGGTATTACATCAACCCCGACGATACACCAGCCCGCTGCGCGCGCTCTACTTCGGCGTCACCCGTTAGAGCGAATGCGCTTCGAACACGGCGGCGTTTCGGCGATATTCCAACCCCCGATGGAGTGGCGGAGAGAGAGTAATTAAATGCGCGATGGGTCGATCGGAGCTGGATGCCGCGGCGCTCTGCTACATTGCATTAGTCACAGCATTTAGATACATTATAAATGTTTATTATATTCCGAGGCCGTTTTCCCACACCTCATATTGAATTCGACGGTTAATAGAGTTACGACGATACTGACATTTAAACGACAAATAACGCCCTGGCAATGGGCTGCGTTAAAAAACCCGACAAAGGTTTGCAATAATGGCCGAATGTCGCTCGATAATTCGTGGCCGCGAGCGCGCGATTATCGCGACGCGAACCACCGCGAAACCGAACGCCATTATGTTCCCCGATCAATTCTAACGGGGACGCGCGACCGCCGAATTAACACCACTCTTTGTTAATAACACCACGTACGGCGGCTGCCCGGGTTAACTCTCTTCGTCGAGGCCTCGTCGCCGATGAACTTTTCATCGCAACGAGGACAAATCCGGAGGCTCGCGCCTGGCACAACTGTCTAAATTTCCCGGAGCGACATTTCCACTCGGAAAATGAAGTGACAACCCCAGTCAACCGAATTCGAATGACCTTTCACTCGTGCGGAGCGAACTTTCCGTCGTCGAGTGAATATTTTCATTCGAGCTCGAGAAGGCTGCTATCGTCTCGCAGGAGAACAAATTCACTCCGATCGCGATTGAAACATTCACTCGTGAGCAGTAAGAATCCACTGTGAGCTTGAGTAGTGATGGGACTGAGACCGGTTTCGATACTATCGATATATTTACGTCTGAAACTGACACTTTTGTATCGATTCGTTCTAATATATATATTCACGAAGAATTTGAATTTTGCATCGAAACATGCCGACTATCCTGTCAATACGTATCAATTATATATTAAGTATAATATCAGTTTAATTGTAATTGACAAATAAAATTAATACAAAAATAGTCAATAATAGATTAATAAGGATCACATTTATCGTGACGACCCACGATCTGTTCGGCACATATTTTACATTAATTTTTATTATAATGGATTCATCAAGGTTAAAAAATCAGCATACGATTGACATCGAGATCACATTGCAAAGTGTATAACAATAAACTGCTCGTTTCATTGGCACATCTACGATTACTTAATAATCGTATCGAGTCGATACTACATGAAACGCGTCAACAAATTTATCTTACTAATACTAACGAAAGCTTATTTCGAGATGCCAGTATCAAAAAACACGATGCACGGGAATTGATAGATATTGATGTTAACAAGCGCATCATTCAATCGATCCCATCGGCTAAGCTTGAGTGAAATATTCGCAGGATTTGCGCTCACTGTCGCTCCGAGTGAATTTCCCCTCGTTCCGAAAATACGACTTCGCCCCGAGATAATTCAGAGTGCGCTAAAACAGGCGTTAGCCGGCTCGACGGCAACGAAAAAGGGTTAACCTTTATTAGTTCCACGGCGAATCCCCGGCAGTCGGTGAGCCGCGCATCGCAAAAGATGATACCGCAGTTTTCGAGAACCGCAGAGCGGCTCGCGTGCAGCAATCGCGAACTACCGGCGATCGACCGTAGTAAGCTCGGACTAGATTCACCCCCTCGGCAACGCGAATGCGGTATTTTCCCGACCTACATCCATCCAGCTTCAATCGCATCGCACGCGCGCGCGCGGTCACAATGACCGTATTTACGAGCGCCCATCGGATGCGAGCCGTCGCGCGCGCGTCGTCGAAAAACAGCGCCGGTAATATGCGCCCCGCGATTCAATTCACCACCGCTGGTACATATACGTTCTCTCTCTTTCTTTCTTTTTCTCTCGCGCGCGCGCGCGCCGATCGCTTTTCTTTCCGGCTGAATCGTCGTGCCGGAAAGGAAACGACGAGACGCAACGGGAAAATCCTTGAATATCGTCCTCCTTCTCTCTCCCTCTCTCTCTCTCTCTCTCTCTCTCTCTCTCTCTCCCTCTCTGCCTTTCAATATTAACATTATCGATAATCCTGTCGCGCATGATGACGGAAGTGTACATAACTTTCCCATTTTATCAGCTCGCGATCCGTAAGACTACGAGAGAAAAAGAGAGAGAAAGGGAGGGAGATAGGGAGATGTTCTCTTCTCTCGCGGCGGAGAAAAACGTTTTCAATTTTCTTACATTACGAGGATATCGGAAAGCTCTCTTTCGCTAATTTCCTCGGCTTTGCCGACGCTTCGTGCGTCGGAATTTTAGAAAGAGGACGGTATTCGAGTTCCTTCCCCCGCGACTTCAATAAACACGCCGAAGATTCCCCCGCTGTTGTCTCCTCCCCCGGTCGGAAACAAACACGGAACTTTTCGGGACGATGACCGGCGCGAATCCCACCCCGGCTAATACGACCCCCCCTCCCTCCTCACACACACACACACATACTCTTTCTCTCTCACTCTCTTCCCCGCGCTTTTTCCTCCCTCCTCGTCATCCACTTCCGTTTCCCTTCCTCGTTACAACGAGCTGAGACCGCATATTCGACCGGACACTCACACACATACACACACACACACACCACGGAAAGTTGCACACGTCCCTCAGCGAAAACGTTCTATCGGTTCTACCGGCGACGGGAAAGCGCAAACTCGCGGTTAACTTAACGCGCGAATCAAGTAACATTCACGTCGCCACGAACGATCCTCTCCTCCTGGACGCGATCGGTCGTACATGGACGACGGCCTCGCGACGACTTTTCGTTCACCTTCCTTCGCGCGCAGTTCTGCCTACTTGAAAGCGCAAACGTCGATTACGGCGTGTTAATTACACCGAGAGACTCGTACGATGCGGACACGGGCGCAGCTAGGAGTCCCCTCCGTCCCCTAGTCGGTGCCGTTCCCAATCGAGGAAATTGCCATCACCAGCTACAAGTTTCCCTACTTAACCCAGTTCGTGGACAAAAACAGGACGTCTTTTACACCGATCAACTCCGACTGCCGAAGGTGGAAAAGGCGAGACAGCCGGCTCTGCGGCTCCGCTCGACTGGAAGGAACTCGCGAGTTGATCGGTGCAACACTAATCCAAAAGAAGTCGAAACGAGCAGTCACGGCATTATCGTGCGGACAATTACGGGGGTGTTGGGTCGGTTGGTTGGTGTGGTCGAAAATCATCCCTTCGAGAGGCTCGCGCTTATCGCTATGCACGACGTATCGTTTCTCGTTTTGCCAGCGAAGGGGAAAAGTAAAGAGAGAGACATACGTGGAGAACTACCGGAGATCAAGCACGGTTGTCGGGCCTTGATAGCGCATAAAGCGTCGAAGGGTGGTCGAATAATTCAAGGCCCGACGACGACGGTCGAGAGTGTCTTATGGGAGCCGCGGTACTCGTGAGTCACGTGGAATGACACATCTGGAAGGAATTCGGCCATCTATATGTGATACGTCGTCTCGCCGGGAGCGATCGGTTACGTCCCGGCGCGGATAACGCAACAAACGCCGTCGTTTCTTCTTCGCATTTTCGCTCGCGAGAGATCGAGTCGCTAAACGAGACGAGTTAATCGAGTTTCGACTCGTCGTCGCCGAGAACGGATCGTTCAAACGAAGTCTCCCCGACAGGTTGAACGCCGCGCGACGGTCGTTGGACAACCGGCCGCTCTTATACCATCGCGTCTCGTTAAGTTACGTAATAAGGTAGAATTCACTGCATTTGAGCAATCGATTTTGAGAGAAGCCGATGAGAAGAAACGAGACGGAAGGTAATAGACAGCGACGCGTTATGCCTCCTCGATTCTGCTCCCCTATCATTTTGAAAGTTCACGGCATATGCACAGAAGCAACGAGTAAATAAATCAAATGAAAAAAGTAAATAAATAAATAAATAAATAAACTTCGCTTTTTCTGGCCGGCGTCGAGATCCCGCGAAATATGGTCGCGCAGGGATCACACGGGATCTTCTTTCTCCAGCGCTTTCTTCACAGCCCCTTTCGCGAAATTCCCGGCCGTATCCAGCCGCGAATAGAAATCGCATTAAGGACATCCTCGAGGACCTTAGTCGCCGGCGATAAAGAAATTTATAGCCGCCGGCGTCCCAGGACGAAGATAAATATCCCGCTTAACACCTGCGCGTGTGTGCGTACGTACGCGCCGGTACGCGACGTAATTGCCCGGAGGAGAAAAGGAACGACCGTGGCGGGGAGGACTGCGGTGGATCGCGTATCCCGCGGATTATCGTCGATAATCGGCCGAAGCGAGGAGGTCGTGCAACAATCGAACGCAAAGTTTATCATTGCGGGCCTGCGACCTCGTCACACCATCGACGGTGCGGTCCCTCCTCTCCCGAGAGACGAGATTCGTCGTAAAAGCACGTGGTGTTAATTCATAGCAAAGCGTCGGTAAGTGACTCGACTCGAGTTCATTCATCACGTCGGAGTGTACTTCTAATAATGGCGGGGCCAACGAGCAACCACACATATATCTCGGGGTCCAAAATATCTAAAAGGCATTTTGTCGCGTTGAAAGCGTTCGGCCGCTTCTCGTCTGCTCTACGACAGAGAACACGAAGCGTGTGAGGTAGGAAAAACAAAAAAAAAAAGAAAAGAAAAAAAATTCCCGTCGTCGCAATGAGACACTTAAAAATCAATTTCGCTCTCTCCCTCCCGATCTTGGTCGGGGCGAAAAACAGTTCTGTCGTTAATCGGTAATTTTGGATATTTTTCAACGCGATAAAACAACACCTTGAGACAACTCTTAACACTGAGCCGGCCCTAAGGCCACGTGCGTCACATACCACATATTAGCTTCCGTGTTAGCCACATATTACAGACACCGTTAAGAACATATCCCCGACATCGTACGTGTGTGTATATACGTGTGTGGGTGTCGAGTGATATCGCACACGTCTTATTACGTGACGCTTACGCAGGAAAAATCAAAAACTAAAATGAGAAGGATAGCACGTGAGAAAGAGAATGGAAATAAGAGAAAAATAAGACAGACAGAGAAAGAAGGAGAGAAAGAGAGAGAATGCGCGCGCATGTGTGTGGAGAGAATAAAGAACGAAAGAAATTTTAGTCTAGCCGATTAATTACAGTTTCAGAATTATTACAATTGACCTCAGCCAAGCCTCGTGCACACGCTGATTCGACGTGCGAATTAGCGAGACGTTCCGTCAGAATCCGACGAAATTGAATTAAAAATCGATCTGATTTCGCGTGACACATATGCGACGGGACGAGACGCTGCGTTTCGACGGCGATGCACTTGCGACCGCGTGCCAACGACAGGTGCATCCACGGCGACGCGCTTTCACTCGCACGGCCACGGTCTCTTGCCCGCCAAAGTAATCCGAGAGGAACGCACCGCACTCGGGGATGTGTCCAAGTCGAACAAATCGCTCCGGATCTCGCGAGAGAAGGACGAGTTTCCGCGACAATGGGTCGAGCGTGCGCGCATCACGAGGTGTTTTCATCATCTTATTCTCTTCGCCGCTTCTTCCGACGCGCTTCATCATTTGATTTCACGACGCGACGCGAGCAATGAAACGCGGCCGAGGAACGGAACGAAGAGAAACGCGGAAGTAGACAACATAAGAGCGCGTGAATAGTCGTCGCGTTGACACGTCGGCACGTGACGCGCAGGTGGAAAGAAGAGCCAGTGTGACGGAGAAACAGACAGGTCAACAGAAGTAGACGGGTACAGAGAGAGAGACGGACGGACAGAGAGAGATTTCTTTTTTTAACAGACAAATAAGGTGGAAATAGTTAAACATATAAACAGATGGAAGAAGAGAAAAGAAAGAGAACGTCAAATGATAGAACAGATTCTGAAAGAGAGAGAGAGAGAGAGAGAGAGAGAAAGGTGGAAAGAGTAGTGGTGTATACAGAGTAATACAGAAAGAGATCCGTTGTTCGCCAGGTTCCTCAGGCGCCTTAGGTACTTCGTAATTAGAGACAAAGAAAAATAAGAACATTAAGTAGTTGGTGTTGGTCATTACCGTTCGGGTCCGGGGCAATCGGGTACAATGATTGAGGCTTTGTACTGTCGGGCCGTGGTGGTTGGTGGTTGGTTCATTGGTGGTTGGTTGGTGGTTGTTGTCGATTGTTGGTAGGGTCGTGGTGGTCCATTTGCCGATCGAGTCGGGGTCCGTCGTTCCGGGCAGGGCAACGGCAGGGCAACGGCAGGGCAACGCCAGGGGGGCAACGCCGGGGTTGGGGCGGGGCCAGGGCACAAACCATCAACCAAGTTAGACATCTCGTCTGACGGCTGGATTAATTCGCGGCTTAACCTCCTAACAACCCCCTCCGTAACTCTCTTCTTTCCTCCTCAACTCCCGCGTTTTCCGCGTCTGCTAACGCGAGTTATCCCACCCGTACTTTTGTCTCTCTTACAGCTCCCGCTACCAGTGCCACCTTATACGACGCCGTCGTCGTCATCGTCGTCGACGACGACGGTGGCGAATCGACTACTGCCGGAGGGCGAGAAAAATATTGGCAAGTCGAATTACCGGAATCGCGCGAAAATGGAGTGTCCCGCTCTACCAGAGCCGGCCGTGAGAGATCGACGAGTGTTCGACGAGACCGGTCGGTTATTCGGTTGAAAAGTCCCAACTTTGAGATTCTCCCGCGCGATCGTGATACGATTGGCGAGAGCCCGGCCAAGTTGCAGGGAGAAACGGCTTTTCTCCTCGGCGAAGTGCTTAGTCGACAGACGTAGTACTTGTATCATCCAGCGGCAAAGGCCGCGGGTCGGGCACACGACTGTCGGGCTCTCCACCTTCCCCGAGCTATTAAGAATTCTGAAGGCGCACTCGAATAGTTCTCTCTCTCTCCCGGCACGGCAGTTAACTGACGTCACTCTGCCTCCACGGCGACCCGAGGAATATTTCAATTGCTAACGAAGTGCGCTAAACGCCGTTAATCAAGCAAGTTTTTAATCTTTAAACGAAGAGGTCTATTAAAGCGTCCGGTGTAACTTGCGGGTGGTGGTGGTGATGTTGGTGGTGGTGAACTCCCGGCTCGTAACTGATAACCGTTCCCGTCCATCGACATAAGTAACGAAACTTTCGCGAAAAAGCGGAAAGAACACGCGATGGATGTGCGATAGCTTCGCGAATGGAAATAACCTTCTCGCCTCTCTTCCCCGTGCTGCGGAGTACAAAGTAGCGAAACGAATCGCTGTAACGTAGCGAAAGTTCCATTTTCCGGTGCGCTCTTCGCGAACACGCGACCGTGTTACCGGCGCGATACGTTTCAACTACGTTTGTCCTTGAACGGACAAAATCTCTCTCTCTCTCTCTCGCTCTCTCTCGCGTCGATGTGTAGATTATTACAGTTCACGTTCTGTTTACAACCCGTATCAACCGGCTGGCGATTTTTTCACGACCAGCAGCGCGAGTGGACACTCATTCCCGATATAAGCGCGACTTACCAATATTTTTTTCGCACGCGCGCAAAGTCATCACGCACTCCGTCGCCCGTGCAGATTCGCCGCAAGTGTCCGCGCAAACTCCTCCAGAGTGCGACGAGAGATTCCCCGTCGGGTTCGGAGAGAGAGTCCCCCCCGTGGAAAGCCGCCGGGAGGGCAACGCAAACTAGAAACGAATCGCCGAGAGATTCTCCTCGGATACGGCACTCTCTGGGAACAATAGTCGGTGGCGGGGCGCCGGATGATCAAATAGAGACGCAAGACCGAAGAGAGTTTCAGCGTGACGTGTTGCCGCAACGAGCGTGTCGAACGCGTGTCTCCTCGGCTGGTTAAAAATTCATCGAGCCCACCGATTATTAATTACATCCATTATTAATATCCGATAATTACATCGATGCACTCTTCCCAGCAAATCGCATAAATTATCTTAATCGAGTGACATACCGAGTAGGCGAATTAATAACGCGTCGATTTGAATTCATAGGCGTGCGCAACGTTTCACTGCGTGTATTCGCGCAGCTTGGCGGACGTAATAAAGAAAGGGGGCTCTCTTTTCGCCGATCATCAGTGCCGAAAGTGCCGTATCCGAGTGCGCCCGCCCTCAGACGCGGAATCTCGGTTTCCCCGCGCTCCTCCTCGTTTACACGGTACGGAAAAACTCGCACGAAAACGTGGCCTATCGGGAGACGGAGAGAAGGTGTTTCCCGCAGCACGTCGGCACGTACTTCGGCCGTAGTAAAAAAAGCCAGTGCATCCGAACGTGCATGCGCGAGACGCTTCGATGGACCACTGAACCCGGACGTGCCCGGCCGCCGCTGCTGGCGGAGGTGTCACAAAGTGTCCGGGTAATTTGCGACGATGTCACAACCGCACGATTAAAGAGCGAAATTTATGCCATTAACGCGACACCCCCCTCTGTCTGTCCCCCTGAGTGCACTTTAGCAGTTCAGCCCGATGGCAGTGCGACACGGCTGGAACTGCGGACCTCTCGCCCAGTTGAGCCTCCCCGTAAGCCCGTGACTTGGAGGACGATAACGTAAGTAACGTCCGTGGAATTGATCGCGGCAGAACTTGTCAACTCGCCAAAGACACGGGGTTACGGTGCTCCTTCTAGAACCCTGCCCACTTCCCATCGGGGCGAGCGGAGATGCCTTATCGATGCGTTGTTATCGGATTACGTTTACGGGACGAGCGACGCTCCGCATCGTCGCGAGGTCGGCGGATACCGGTTGCGAAAACTCACTGACTCGGCGCGCGCGTAACTCGCCATTTTACGCCATTTTACGCTTCGAGAGAGAGAGTTTCGTGTGAAAATTCGCGAGTAAAATACACACGTTCCCATTGTTTCCACGTGAACACTGGAAATCCTTTAGCTGAAACTCTTCTTACACGCGCCTTGCCGTTTTAAGTCGCGTCATTTAATACGATTGAATGTGTTAACAGATGACTTAACGTTTGAACGATCAAGCGTTTTCAATGACGTAAGTTAAATCGGCGTAAAAAGAAGAATTTCAGCCAAATTGTGTCATTTGGAGACGTTGATGCGTGGAAAAGTAACGCACGTGGATTTGCAGCGAAGCATACGCCTTGCTCGTTCGCGGGAGAAAAAGAAAAAGAGGCGACCGGATAGAAAGGAACTCCGCGAGGCTCTCGCGGAAATGAAGGCGCTCTCGTCACGCGAAATTCGACGATCCCGCTCCTCGGTATCCGCCGGCTTCAGCAGCGATCCGTGGAGTTGCGATGACTCCGACCGCCGGCGTTGCGTCGCTCGACCGACTGGCTGAATTGACTATGAGTCATCACAGATATAACGCTGACGTTCTAACTCGTGGACTTCCAGATGCACCGCACATTCGTCGTACTCATTCCAACGAATCCCAGCCGCGCTTCTTTCAAACACGATCGGGAGATCATGGTCATGATCATTTAGCGTGATCTGATGACGCGACGTTAACGTAGCGGAAAACTGGAGCATGATGTATCGATCACGCGCCGAGCCCACCGCGAGAGAGGATGAAATCCTCTCTCGTCGGCGGCGAGAAGGACGAGCTCCCCCGCCATCGATCGTAAAACATGCAACTTTCGCGTGTCGCCCTTAAAATATGACGCGAAAATAAGATCGAGGACTGGCCGCTAGCTATCCTTGTAACTGAGAAATAACGAATGTCTCATGAAATATTGATACGTAGAGCGTACGACGTGTGATATACGGGCGAAAGACGAGGGAGAGCCCCCCTCCTCCCCCGCATTTCAGGAACCAAATGCATAATGAGGCTCGCGTACGGATGGGGGGTGTCTTTGGAGAACGAAACGCGAGCGCCAGGCGAAACAAATTCCCGCGACAAAGCCGCCTTTTCACGCCGCCGCTGCTTTGCTCTTTGCAGAGAATTATGCGCGAGACCTTCGCGTTTACTTTTTCTCACTCGTGACCGTAAAACATAAACGCGGCTAATACGATAGCATGAGTGTAATGAAATTGTCGCGGTATGATAAATCCGCGTAATTATCTCTATAACGATAATGACAAATTACTTTCGAATCGGAGGAAAAAGAGTTCCAAGACTCGAGTAGGGCCGACAGGTTAATTAATTACGTTGTACAGGCGCTCGCGCATCATCGATTCCGTAGACGGTGCGCGAGAAAAAGTACACGTGAAACGAAAGGTCACACATCGACTCACTGGTCGATACCGCGAGTCGCCCCTGGGGGACTGGTGAACCAAAGAAAAAAATGACTCAATCAACTGAAAATCCGACATAATTAGAAAGTGAGACACACACACGTAGCCGGGAGACCGTAAAAACACGTCGTCGCGCCGTAGAGCATAAAGATGGTAATCACGCGCGAGGAGGAGCGTATCTCGAAGAGCACACTTCTCAGACAGTTTTTACGATCTCCCCGCTGAATTATTTGTGCGATCCTACCGCCGTCCTTCTGTATCTCATTCTCTCTCATGTTCCCTCCCCGTGAAAGGAGCTTTACGAGAGAGAGAGAGAGAGAGAGAGAACGGACAAAGAAAGGAGCGAAACTACGAACGAAACTATGAAACGAGCCGAAGCCCAAAAGCTTACCTGACTCCTGAGTTTCGTGATGTTCTGACCACCCTTGCCGATTATCGAACCAGCTACCTGTAACAGAAAGGAGTAAAACGGCGTTAAATGGACGGAGAGCGACGACGCAATTATATCCAGATACAAGTATCTCCGCAACGATCGGAGGAATCGAAAAGAGAGGAGGAGCGCGCGTGAGCGATGCCTACAAATATTTCGCACCTGAACAATCTCCGTGAGATAGATGGCGCGCTATCTCACGCATTCTCGGTGTATCTCCTCGATCTTCGCGACATTACGCCGAGCACGCGTGTCGGCAAATATTTATTAAATGAAAAATCTGCAAGTGAAATAACCCGAGGCGTGTCGCGGCCCGAGGACGAAATACGGAAATTCCATTCTCCTGCCGTCACGAGAGTGCGGTAACACACACAACGCGCATACCGCTTTCTCCAGGAGCCGCCTGCGATGTTCGCGCGATAAAAAATCCTTTTTGCCGTCGACGCTTAGCAAGTCAGTTAGCCCGGATTTTAATTTTAGCGCGCGCGCGCGCAGGCCGCGTGCTTCCGGCATGTGTCGCGAAGAACGAGCGCGATCGTTCGCGTGAGAGACGGTTACGATTTAATGCGCGCGGAATGCGATTTGCACGAGGGGCGTTGAATTCTTCAAGATCCGCGACGTTGCGGCGATCCAAGACCACGGCGCCCCTCTAACGACGGACTATTTATCACGTCCCGACAGCTAATTAAATAAGCTCCGGCAATTAACACTTTCTCTCCTAGGCGAGAGAGGAGGAGGCGCGTCAGGGACGCGCTTCGATGCGCGCCAGCAACGGTACATTATGCAGCGACGCAGGAATGCGGCTATGCGGTCATTTTCATTATAGTCGAGCGTGCTCCTCTCACCCTCCGTCTTTCCCGCGAGAGAAAATCGCAAGACCGGCGAGGGCGCGTCGAAGATCGTGCGACGGCCGTTCGAATCTCCGAGTCCCGAAAGTTTCCGGCCGAGATCGCTCCGGTGTGCCGCCCGAAACCGAACCTTGTTCCTGAAAACACCGAGGTTCTCGCTAAGCTTTAGCAATCTTCTTCGCTTTAAGTCCTACGCACTCACAGTTGTACGTGAGGCATGTACGAATACGTATGTAGATCGTATTGCAACAATGGCCGGCCTCCCGAGACTTTCGAAACATTTTGACTCTTTCGACACGCTCGAGACCTCGAGGATAGTCAAGATTATCCAGAACTTCTGGTTTACCACGGACTAACACGCGGAACGAGTCGAAACTCTTGCATCGTGAACTCCGAGCGACGCGCACAGTGGTGCCGCTATACATGAAGCTGCGGAAAAAAATTGGATAACTTTGGAATTTCTCATTTCTTGCGTTTCCTCTGGAGATTTTCAGTTCGTACGGAGAGTAACGTTAAGAGATCCAACATAGAAATGTAACAACTAATTATATTAATTTATGCTTACGACTGTCGCAATCACTCGCGCGCGTGCACAACAAAATGATGTTATAATTTCTTACTACAATAATAATTAGTGAGTAACATCATATGTATTAAATAATATCTACTAGTTATATGACTGCAGTCGAACAAAAACTTGAAATTTTAGGTATTATTTATAAGCACTGTAATAGAATTTTCATTAAGAACTGGAAAGTAATTAAAAATAATTATGTCGCACATAAAGTAAGACTATATTTATAATACACGAGATGTATATTGGTTAAACAGACATTAAATTAACAGAATAGAAGTCTATCTACGATTTAAGGTTTTTTCCTCAAATCAGACGAATAAAGTACATTCATTTTTATCACAAGACGCTCCTACTATGCGTTATTCGTCAAGTATTCATTCAAATACCTCAAAATAGCGAGCCGATGCGTAAGAACATTATTTTCGAGAGAGATTTTTTCCACCTCCGTGCTTCGCCGACGACGACGACACGCGTGCATACAAACACTCGACAGATTTTTCCAAAAATTGCACGAGACGTAATCCCGAGCGAGCTGCTATCCCCGACGCGATCGTCCCTGACACACCGCCACCAACGACGGCACGCGATGATATCGTCGATTACGTAGCGGGAGATTCGAGCCGCGATCGAGCGCGACGAGGCGTTCGTGCTCGACCACCTGGATCGCAATAAGGCGTCCTCGCGGCGCCGATTAAATCGCACCACCTCGACGTGGGCACCACACGCCGTTGTTGTTGTCCATTACGAAATTAGCAGGCGGGATCGTGCCAGGGCCGTTCGTAATGATGTCACGCGCGCGTCGACTTCGGGGAGTAGCGCGCACCCTCGGCGAATTCGCGAGCCCCTCGCCTTGATAATAATAAGCGCGAGAGCGAACTTAATCACGGGGCTCTCGTTTCACGGTGCGTTTGCTTTTTTCGAACGTATCGCTCGCGTATCGACGGGCGATGACGATGTGCTTATCTGCGCGCTCCCACGCGACGATCCGGCGTTTAATTCAATTAAGCTTATTAACGTCCGCGCCGGCGGATTACGAGTTACGGCGGCAGCGAAGGCGACTGTAAATCGCTGGAACAATCGGCACAACCCGGCGCGAGGAAGGACTAACGGAGGGTGCGCGCTAAGACGTGGCGTTTCTTCGAAACTCGGGGAACAGCTCGAATTCATAATCGCGACGCGAGGAACGCGAAATCCACGAGACTGAAGCTGCATTCCGAGATATTCATCCTCTAAATGCGAAAAATCGATATTGTCATGACTTTTAGTCAATATTCAACGGGAAATTGAATGTACGTAGGCTGTAACGCTTGTGATGCGCCGCATACACGAAAAAGAAAGAGAAGGAAAACGACGACGACGAGCGAAAGCATAGTTCACGTCACGCGTACTATAGATTTTTAGTGAATATCGGAACGCAGTCGACGACTCTCAGAGAGGGAGTTTCGATATTCCGTGGCGAGGGAATTGCGGACGAGAAGAAGTCGGCGGGCGATTAATTCGGAAATTCGACGAGTTTTCGCGACGAGAATCGACGATTTTCCCTCGGTAAATATACGCCGGATACAAAGGAAGCGGCGCGAGTGCCTCCACCGTTCCCTTCGATATTCTCAATGTTACAATCAATCACCACCCGGCGAAAGGAGGTACAGATAGACCTCGATCTGCGATATTACTTCTCGCCGACGGTACCTTCGAAAGCAGGCTGCCGCTGCAATCGCGATATTCACCTCTTGCGTCTTATTGTGCACCGCCGCGGAGGAAACGGTGTGGCGCAAGAAAATATCCGCCCGGCCCCGAAGAAACATCCGAAGCTAACGATACAGCTTGGCTGAGGATGGAAACTAATGGTACCTTTCTCGCTTCGCTCGGCGATGAGAGAGAGAGAGAGAGAGAGAGAGAAAACGAAGACCGTGTCGAGATAACGGGATTTTCGTTAGCACCTCGCTGAAACTTCACGCGGTGCCGACGTATTTGTCGACAGATTCCCGACGGATTTCCCGTAAGGAGGTAAAGAAAGCGAGCGAGCAAGCCGAGAGAAACCGATAACGGTCCGTCGAGCGTGGGCGACAATGACCGGAAGAGCCCCGGCTGACAGAACGGACGTGTGGTGGTCCCGTATTGCGCATATGGAAGCCGTTAACCGTCTCTCCTCCACTCGCCGTGGTGAACAGTGCGAAAACAGCCGGCCAACACCCGCGTGACTGGGAAATACAGTGACCCAGTGCGGCGGCACGTGGGTAGCACCCGGCGACACATTGTGTGCTGAAACGCGTACGGACGGGGGCGTCTTGGATTCGCGACAGAGAAAGAGAAAATTCACGCGGAAACGTGAATGAACGATATTCCACGTTGCTTCGCGAACGAAGAACGACGAGGGGACGTTTCGCAACAACGGACGGAGAAAATTTGTCTTCATCGAGTCGCACTTCCTACTAAATCTCCTCGAGTGAAACTTTACTTGAAAAGTAGAGTGACAGCCGGCGGATCTCCCGAAACCCAAAGTGACTTGTCGCTCGTATAAAAAGGAATTTCCCACTCGGAGTCGCGGAATGAATATTTTCACTCGAAATTGTAATCAACTCTCGATCCTTTTCCTGTTATTCTTTCTCCAAACGAAATTTCTCCGAGTGAAATTCTATTTGAAAAGTAGAGTTACAGCTCGAGTTCCAGTGACTTTTTAGTCATATGGAACGAATTTTCCGCTCCGAATCGTCGAGCGAACATTTTCACTCGGAATTGAAATAAATTCTTAATACTTCTTCGCTTTTTTCTCCTTCTTCAAATTTAATATCGAGTATCATGGGATTTAATGTGTGTACGCTAGTATCAATAATGATATCCGTGTCCCCGGCTAAACCAGCTCGTCGATTTTTCCGATGAGTGTCAAGGAAAAATGGATATGCGCTCGCCGGAAGTTGCTCACGGCAACCCGGCCCGATGAATCAACACGCTCGTTAGTCATCGGTATCATCAGGTCGAACACATTTCCGCGGTGACGTATCGATCGTCGGCACTCACCTTACTCGGTATGAGAAGACGGAGCTCATCGTCACCCTGTCGATAGCGCTTGTGGGGGCTCGTCGGACCCCCGGAACCTGTCATAGCGCCGGTCTCGGCTTCTCTCTTCATTATTCCTGAAACAGAAACGGAGAATTCCTCCCATCAGCGTTTTCCGTCACCGCATCGTAATTCGTTCCGCGATCGCGAACAACGAAACGGTTTTACACGATCGTAATCGGCTTTTGTCATCATTCCGAGCAACGTTATAATATCCAGGGCGTCGCAGACCGCCACTGCACTCGCCGAAATTACGGGATCGTAAAGCCGCGATATAAATTAACATACGCTACCGATTTTCGTCGCGTGGTCTCGCGGCTTCTTCTCCCTCTTCCCCCGGCCTGACAAAAACGCCGGATAAGTGCAATAAAACGGAATATATATACGGCCAGCTCGTAAAATGCTTTTCCCATACCGGGCCGGCGATCATTAAAGCGAACGAGGCGATTTAACGGACAATGAATTACTATGCCGGGCGCACATACGGTCTATCCGGCTTCATAACGCGTGCTAATGTATACGGATTTATGCGTCTACAGGGTGTCCCGTTAGGACAGGTCGATACGTCGCAGGACGATCCGCAAGGCGGTCGACTCGGGCGGAAAATTATATCAAGTACGCACGAACGGGGGCATTAACACTCTATTAAATTTCGAAGCGCGCTCACTCGCACGCACGCACGCACGTTGCATGTCCGATCGTGTAGGAGCGAAGACGCGAAATATTTGCGCCGCCTTGATATGTAATTAAACACGCGCAGTTGCCGCGTTTAATTGTCGATCTATAAAAGCCAGCACCGCCGGGAAAATCTCTCTTCCTACCGAATGATTAAAAAAAAATCCCCCCAGCGGGATTAGAATTTAATTATTTCTATTCGCGCGAGCGAATCAGCGTCTCCGCGGGACGCTCTAAAAATAAAAGCAACGATTAATTATCCGCTAGCCGCGATAATTCTTTCCGTACGTACCGTACGTACACGTCTTTCGTTGGGCGCGCCAGTGCCGGCCAAGATGCATTGCTCAATTAGAGATTTAGCACGGGTCTTCCGAGCGGCCACGAGCGTAAACGCTGGCCGGCGTTAACCTCTTAATTCCTTTCCCGACATGCGAAAGATTAAATTCTTAATACCGGCCGTTCCTGCTTATTAAAGAGAGCGAGTGTCAAACGTCGGCGCGCGCGGACGAGCGCATCGGAAATAAATTAACTTGGGACGCCGCAAATCACTGTTCGGCTTTTAACGTCGACTGTGTCCCACAGTTCCAATTCCTACGTCAGATTATACGTGATTTTTGTAGCTTTTGATTTTTTCTCAGACCGGAAAGCTGTTATTATATTATTATCAACCTCATTTGATTTTCAGTCATTTCTCGACTCGTTTTCTTTATTGTTTTTCCCCCACCGTGTATATATATATCACAATCCTTGGATTAAAATTTCATTGTCGCTATCCGAGAGGTCGAGGTGTAATTGAACAACGATCGATCCGCACGGATCCTCTCTCGAGCGCGTGGTTTACGCATTGCCCGCGCGCATTTATAGCGAGCGGGGAATTAAATTTCGCCGAAATCGATGGAGATTACGTATTTATATTGACACGATTACCATCGTTTACCTGCTCACCAGTCCAGAATGCTTAACGGAATGCGGCGCGATTGAATTGCGAATAATTAATTATATAATCAATCTGTTTGATCAAAGAACAGCGGAGCTTAACCGCACAATGGCGTTCGGCCGGCCGATACTCGTATCCTCGCAATACTGCGGCCATAAACCTCGTTAACAACCCTGACAGTAACATATTAAGGTCTACGAGGTGCGTACGCGTTTTTTCGCTTACCCCGTCCATGTTTTGCGCAAAACGCTACACCGCACTCATGTTCCTCGATTACCCCGAAAAAAGTTGAGTCTACATGCGACTACCGCTATTATCAGCCTGATCCAATGAAACGACCGGTTTGCTGGCGGCAACCGGTCTATAAAAGCAATAAATTCGTAATAAACCGAGTGATTCATAAAAGAGTAAAAAAGTATAAAAGCTACGATTTTCAGCATGTTTCTTTTCTCGTCATGCAGGCGATTACTCAACGTGAAGATCGCGGGTGTTACTCTCAAGGGTCAACCAAGCTCACGTACACAGCTCGCGTCGGCCGCAAGTCGGATCCGAATAAACTTGGTCCCGCGCGCGCAGAATCGCGAGAGATCGCGAAGCCATCACATCCCGCGGAGAAAACGAAAACGCGACGGCAGTCGACGATCATTTGCCGGCTAAATCGCGATAGCGTGCGTTTAGCATAGAAATCGCAACTACACGTGCTGCATACGGAACCGCAGCCGGCAATGGGAACATCGTAATATAAGGTTACAGGCAGTTACAGGGGAATGCAAAAAGCCGCGCGACGTATTCCTGCCGTGGCGTGCGTGCGGCGTGTAAGTACGGCACGTTCGTTCTCGATATCATCGCGCTCAGCGGTGTTGCTGTTATTACGCCCCGAGTGACGTGATCTAGTTGAAAACATATTTACCTCGTTCGAAGAGCCACGGTCGTTTCATAAAAAAACTCGGTAAGAGTAAGCTCGCGAGACGCGTTAACGCGCGTGAAATTACGTTTGTATCGAGAATATCCTGCGCACAGTAAAAGAGTTTTAATGTTAAATTTAACACGCTAGTTCTTGTGTTCGTTTAACACGAGGTGAATATGTTGAGAAGTAACGCAAACGTTATATAAAAAAAATCAGCAGAAAATTAATAATAGTTAATCGACATTGTGTTATAAAAAAGTGTTATTTTGCAAAAATCTCGACAACTTTAACACAAGTACAAAACAATTTTTTTACCGTATACCCTCGAAATTTCCTCGAGAGAAATTCCGCTCGGGAGGCCGAGCGTCGGCCGGAGTCACTCGAGTATCTTTGCACTCACATAAATTTTCCGCTGTGAATTCTAACTGATTGAAACGTTCATCACTCGTATAGATTAAGAATCCGTTTTGAGCTCGAATCAAACATTCACTCCCGTAATCCCGAGTGGAGGCGTTTCCTTCTATCGTCGCTCCGAGTGAATTCTCGCTCGTTTTGAGAGTGAGATTTCACTCGGCGGAATTTCGAGAGTAAATATTGGATTCTCTGGTGTGCGGACATGCGCACGACTATTTAACGAAAATGCCGAGATCCTCGTTTTTTCCGACGGTTCCCGTGGCGCGCTTACGTGGCGATAACAAGTCGGTTTCCCAAGCCGTGACGTGGCGGTAAAGCGCACTCTTTGTACTCGACGAGGTATGCAAACCGCATATGCAAACGAAACGCGCGCGGACTGAACTGGGTCGTACCCGTCGTACTCAAGACCGAAACCGATTACGTTCCACGCGATCATATGACGACAGAGTCGAGCTAAATTGCTTTTAATCGTCCTAGCGGACGGACGATCGCGCGCGATATGAATAAACCGGTCGTATCTCGATGCGGCACAATCGATCGAGTGACTCGCCGCAAATTTACTCTGTTCAATAATGCGCGCGAACCGGTCGTGCTGAAGCGTCCGACAAATATTGGCTCAAAAATACCCGAGTACCACGTAAAAAAAAAAATCCATCGACCTTTTGGCACAATTGGGAGAACATCTGTATCGTATGTACGATTACGTCGTTTCAGTTACGTCGACCTTTCAACGTGAACGATATTTTATAGTTCGAGTTCCCGCTATTCATTGATCCTGCGATTGGCTGAAATCACGAGTTTGTATGAAGAAATTCGCACTCGGGTACCCTTCGGCCGATTTAGCGGGGAAGCAAAGTGGCCCGGGGAAATTTTGCGCGTCCACGTGTTATTTGCGGGATCGCGGCCGACCAGCCAGTTCGATCGTTCAATTCGCGTGGAGCATTCGGTGCAATTATTTTCTTGCCGCGCGGACGGAATCGCAATGCGCCGCGAGCGGAAGATTGAGGGTACGGCGGGCGGGTTAATAACAATGTCGGCGGGACAGAAATGGAAATTAAAGCGACGAGCGCGGCGGCACATCTAGATACGACTCCGCGTGTGCATACGCACCAACGGCACGCGAGGAGAAAAAGCGGGACGACCGAATCGATGGCGGTCGCCCACCTGGTAGATACCGACACGCGACGTTAATAATTTATCCGCAACGATTCCGCGACGAAAGGGCGCTTTCGATTCGCGCGGCCGACTGTCCCTTATATATCCTTCTTTTCTGTCGCGGCATGCCGGGAATAACACCGCGAATGGAATGCACAAAAATATCGCCGGCGAACGACGTGAATTAGGAATCGCCGTGGCGGAATTGCCGGCAAACCGTCACGTACCGTCTCCGAAATTATCCGTCGAAGTATGAGATATATCTCTCTCTCTCTCTTTACCGTCGTCGTTTCCACCGCGATATCGCGAGAGTGCCGTCCGCGACCTTTCGGATACGTTCTCTTGAAATTGTAATTTGCCGCATTTATCACTCTCGACCGTTTCCCGAGTCCAAGTTTCGACCCTACATTGAACCTTTCATTCTGCAATGCAGGCATTGGTTAAGATAGCAAAATAGATGCACAATTTCGATTCTAATAATATCATTTAGATTAGATTTTATTAAAACAGACGACTGTTTAAGGTAGCGTTCAAATTAAATCTGTGGAATCGAGAAGGTTCAAGAGAAAAGTTAACAAGCAATAGTATCGTCGAAAGTAGATTTCTTTGTTAATCTACGGACTAAGTAGGCGCAAATTATCTTCAAGAGCGTCCAAAAATAGAAACCGAAATTTCGACTTCGGGTCCCGTACTCGACAAAGATCTTTATTTCCGATTACTATTTGTTATCATTTTCCTCGCGATATCTGAATATTTCTCTACGGAATCGACCGCTAGTGTGCGCTGTATACGCGTGTTTATTTGAGACAATATTCAACAAAACGTCCATTACCAAGGCTCGAGCGTTGAATTACGTTTCTCAGCTACTGTGCGCCCATCGATCCGCGATGGGTGCGTGACCGAGCTTCTCGTGACGCGAGCCGAAAAGGTCTCCTCGCCACCCCCGTCCGTCCACCCGACCGACCGACCGACGGTGAAGGGGTTTCTTT